GGTGGCAGCAGTGGAGGCGGAGGCGGCGGAGGCGGTAGCGGTGGGAGCGGAGGTGGCGGTGGTGGCGGAAGTGGAGGAGGCGGTGGTGGAGGAGGTGGAGCTGGTCGGGGTGGTGCTTCGCAGCGGAGCGGCTCCGGTCGTGGTCAGCGCCAGCAGCAGCAGCAGCAACAGCGTTCTCGGAACATCCCCCCTCCTCAGCAGCTCCGTGAGTGGTACACGCAGCGTCAGCGTGGTGGGGGTTTTGGTCCGTGCACCTACGTCCTTCGCTCCGGTGAACGCGCGGGTGAGCAGTGTGGGGGTGCCCACCCCACCCAGCGCTGCTTTGGCCGCCTGACGGACGCTTGGCGTCAGCAGTTCCCCGAGGCTAGTGAGATCCCCCGCTGGGGAGAGCTGTCTAGGGCTGGTGTAGCTATCTATGATCTTGACTTTGATGCTATCCTTGCTGCCATGTATGCTATGACTATTAGTGATGAGGGTGACTGTTACCGATGTTTCCCGCCTGACCCGGGCATTGGTACTGCTGCGCTAGGTGCTAGTGATGCTGCTGCTCTAGGTGCCAGCGCGTCTGCGCCCTCAGGTACTGGTGAGGCTGCGCTCTCAGGTACCGCGTCGGCTTCGGCCTCCCTCACCTTCACACTTGACTCGGGGGCTTCTCGCTCCTTCTTTCGAGACCACACCACACTCACGCCGCTTGGTCGGCCGGTTGCAGTCTCCGTGGCTGACCCCTCTGCGGGTCCTGTCCTCTCTCACTTCTCCACTGTCCTCCCGTGTCCGGCTGCCCCCTCTGACACCTTGTCTGGTCTTTACCTCCCCTCGTTCTCGACGAACTTGGTGAGTGGTGCTGACCTGCAGGATGCGGGGGTTCACCAGTTTACTCCTGCGAGTCAGCGGGTGACCCACTGCTCGGACGCCCGCACGGGCCGACACCTGGCCACGTTTTTGCGTTTGCCGGGGTCGAGCCTCTACACCCTGACCACTGGGTCCCCTCCTATCCCTGCGTCTGGCCAGGTAGCTGCGTCGGGTCAGGTGATTGCTGCAGCGTCCAGGTCTGGTCCTGAGTCTGCCCCCTGCTCGTGTCGCCTCCTGTCTCACGAGACTCTCCTGTGGCACCACCGTCTTGGTCACCCCTCCCTGCCTCGTCTTCAAGGCATGGCTTCCCGTGTCCTCGTCTCTGGTCTTCCCCGGTCCCTCCCTCCCCTTCCTTCGGTGCCTGGTCCTACCAATGTCCCCTGTGTTGAGGGGCGGCTCCGGGCTGCCCCTCACTCCTCTCAGTTTCCCCCGACAGAGGCCCCGCTGCAGACGCTTCACATGGACGTGTAGGGCCAGGCCCGCGTCCGTGGACAGGGTCACGAGCGCTACTTCCTGCTGGTGGTTGACGACTACTCGCGTTACACCACAGTCTTCCCCTTGCGCAGCAAGGGTGATGTCACTGAGGTGTTGATCGACTGGATCCGCGCAGCTCGTCTCCAGCTCAGGAGGAGCTTTGGCTCGGACTTTCCTGTTCTGCGTCTGCACTCTGACCGAGGCGGAGAGTTTTCCTCTGACCTTCTGCGAGCCTACTGCCGTGCGCGAGGCATCCGCCAGACCTTTACGCTTCCGGACTCTCCACAGCAAAATGGGATTGCTGAGCGCCGCATCGGCATGGTCATGGACGTCGCTCGTACGTCCATGATGCATGCGGCTGCCCCCCATTTTTTGTGGCCGTTTGCGGTTCGGTACGCGGCGCATCAGCTCAACCTTCACCCCACGGTCTCCATGCCGGAGACCTCTCCAGCTTTGCTGTGGACGGGGAAGGTAGGCGATGCGTCTGCGTTCCGTGTCTGGGGATCTCGGGCGTTTGTCCGCGACTTGTCTGCGGACAAGCTGTCCCCTCGTGCTACTCCTTGTGTCTTCCTTGGCTTCCCCCCTAACGCCCCAGGGTGGCAGTTCTACCACCCCACCTCTCGTCGTGTTCTGTCCTCCCAGGACGTTACGTTTGACGAGTCGGTCCCCTACTACCGTCTCTTCCCCTACCGCACTCCTTCCCACCCCCCGCCTCCGCTCTTCCTTGTGCCAGGTCCCCCCCCGGTAGACCCCCTCCCCCCTCAGGGTCCTGCCCCTTCAAGTGTGTCCCAGGTAGACGCAGTCGAGCCGGTCGAGGTTGCTCGTGACTCTGGTACTGCTGCGGGTGCTGCGCCTGGGGGTGCTGACTCTGGGGGTGCTGCGCGAGTGGGTGCTGAGCCTGGGGGTGCTGCGCCTGGGGGTGCTGAGCCTTGGGCTGCTGAGCCTGGGGGTGCTGAGCCTGGGGGTGCTGAGACTTGGGGTTCTGAGCCTGGGGGTACTACGCCTGGGGGTGCTGCGCCTGGGGGTGCTACGTCAGGAGCTGGTGAGCTTGGGGGTGCCACGTCTGGAGCTGCAGGGCCTGGAGGTTCTCCGGGTGCTTCGTCTCTGCGGGAGCCACTCTCTCTACCGGAGCTGCGCGAGTGGTTTGCCCGGCGCTGGAGGCGTACTGCTGGAGCTGGAGCTTCTTCGGCTGCTGAGGGTGCTGGTGCCGCCGGTCCCGGGGGTGCTCGTCTTGGGAGTGCTGGTGCTGCTGGACCTGCGAGTACGACTTGCGCTGGAGCTGCTGAGAGTGTTGGCGCTGAGACTACTGCTGTCAGTCCTGGCGGCGGACCTGCTGCGGGTGCTGCTGGTGCTGCTGGAGGTACTACAGCTGGAGGTGCTGTTGGCGCTGGTGCTGCCACTGAGGGTGCTGGTGCTGTCCCTGCTGTGTTTGGAGTCGCCGCGCGGCCTCGGCCGTACTTCGTTCCGCTCCTTCAGCAGGTTCTTGGTCTTCCTCCTCCCTTAGAGTGTCCATCGCCTGTCCAGTCACAGTCATTGTTACCGCCGGCCTCCCCACTACCTGCTCCTTCTCCGTAGAGTGGTCCTACTGGAGATCTTGCTGAGCGTCGTGAGACTGCGTCTCGTCCTGCGTCGCCTGTTCGTGCTGCTCGCACTAGTGGTCGCGGTTCGCGTTAGCGTCTTCCTCCTGTCCCTGGCACGCACCGGATTTCTCTGCGTCCGTCCACTGCTCCTCTGCGTTCCCCTTTGCCTTCTCCTCTTGAGTCCTCTCTTCCTGCACTTGCCGACCCTGGAGTCGGACTCTCTTCATGCTGCCATTCCTACAGTCACGCGTCTCCTTGCTACTGTCGTCACTGACCCCTCCTTTGAGTCCACTGCTGCGTCTGCTCTTGTTGCTGAGCTCGTCGACTTTGCTGCTCGCTGTCGTCTAGACTACGCTGCTAGTCTTGTTGCTGAGTCTGCGTCTGTCTATCCTCCGTCCGTCGGGGGTGAGTGTGCTCTTGGCACGGACGTCCTTGAGGACAGGCAAGAGGAGTTCCAGTGTCTGGCTGCTGCTTCACCCCATCTTGTATCCGTACTGCTTACCCCTGAGGGAGACCCGAATGCACTTGACATCCAGACTCCGCGCTCTTATGCGGAGGCCGTAGAGGGTCCCTACTCCTTTCAGTGGCAGGCAGCTATGGATGCAGAGATGGCTTCCTGGAAGTCCACAGGCACCTACGTTGACGCGGTTCCCCCACGTGGGGCGAACATCGTCAGTGGCATGTGGATCTTCAGGGTGAAGCGGCCGCCAGGTTCTCCACCTGTCTTCAAGGTGCGGTACGTGGCTCGTGGCTTCAGTTAGCGGCAGGGAGTCGACTACTTTCAGACCTTCTCTCCCACCCCGAAGATGACCACTCTTCGGGTGCTGCTGCACATAGCCGCTCAGCACGTTTAGTTTAGGGTTTAGGGTTTAGTGGTTGGAGGGCAGAGTCCAGTGGTCCTCACTGGGCACGCAGACGCTTCTTGGGCTGACGACCAGGCTACACAGCGGTTGTCACAGGGTTACACCTTCAGCCTTGGCTCCGGCTCTGTTTCGTGGCTGGCTACTCACTCGTCTTCTGTTCTCCGCTCCAGTTGTGAGGCTGAGATCTACGCAGGAGCCATGGCTGCTCAGGAGCTACGCTGGCTCACCTACCTGCTGACTAACCTCGGAGAGCCGCCTCGTTCTCCTCCAGTGCTGTACGTAGACAACAAGGCCATGCTGGCCTTGTGTTGGGAGCAGCGCCTGGAGCACAGAACGAAGCACATTGCTCTCCGCTACTTTCTTGCTTGTGAGCTGCAGCAGCGTGGTCAGTTGCGACTTGCGTACGTGGCCTCTGAGGCCAACACTGCTGATATCTTCACTAAGGCTCTTGCGCCTTGTGATCATCAGCGCTTCTGTACTCAGCTTGGTCTTGTGCCTCTCTTGCCTCTCTTGCTCACTTCTTGACCTTGCTTGTACTGTCACATATATATACTCCTGCTCTTGCTTGTTTGGCCTTTTCTATATATATGTGTGCTCCTGCATGTGAACTGGCCGTCTGGCCTTGAACTTGTGCTCGAAATGTGTGGTGACTTTGTGATCCACCCTGAGCTTTGCTTTGCTTTGCTTGACTGGTCTTGTGACCCCTTGTTCTCCCCCACTTTGCCTATGGGGGTGTGTCAGATATGTATGACATAGCTGTTGTAGGCTATAGTGGGGTAGCACATATGGGGTACAGCTTTCTAGGGTTGTATTTGTACCCAACTTTCCCTTAGTCACTTCATTCTCGTTCCAACTTTCTCACGGGAATACCATGGAGTCGGCGGCACAGAACAGATCCGAAGCGGTAGAGGGACAGAGAGACGTACCTGCCGCAAACCGGGATGCAAATCCAAGAGTGGGGGAAATTTCATACTCCCACCAACCTGCACTAGGGGGTGCACTACTGAGTGGCCCGACATCAAGGTCAGCTTGTGCGGACGAGCGTGTTAGGTCTGGAGTTAGGCAGCTCAGGTTCGCTGATCTGGTTAGGAGGCCGCCGGAACGCGAAGCAAGGATGGAGACCGACTTGGCAAGTGTAGAAGATGAAGGCGAGGAGGGTGTAGAAGATCCACAGCTGCCAAGTCAGGTCGAACAGGCAGAGGAGTAGTGGAGGAAGGGGGCTGATGATAAGCGGATGGCCGAAGCAGAAGCCAAGAGGAGACGGGCTGAAGAGAGGCAACGGCGCCGTGATGGTGACACCGATCCTATCGTCTCTTTCCCGGGAACAGAAGACATACCTCAAGCATGGGAGCGTGGGGCACGATCCGCTGCAAGGGCGCACGTGGGAGAGGAGCTAGCCAGCAATGTGCGGCAACATATTGAGGAGGATAGGGGATACGTGAAAGTTCGCTTGCCCAGCGTAAAGCGGAAGGCGGCTGAAGAGGCCCGGAGAGGGGACGTCGACGTGCCAGAGAATTCGGGAGAGGCGAAAAAGAAGGCGCAGAGCAACACGGCTGCAAAGGCTCATAGGATGGCGGTAGGTAGAGGCGCACCAGAAAGTAGAGGATGCGGCCCATCGGTTCGTCGATGCAGAGGCGGCACTTACGGCAGAGGACGGGGCGCCAAAGGAAGCAGAGGCTGCGGCGCAGGAGAAGGTGGGTGCAGAGGCGGTCAAGAGTGCGGAGGCAGTCGCGCGTAAAGAAGCGGGTGCAGCAGCAGAGCTGACGTCGGAGGCAGTCGAGCTGCAGGTGGTAGAGGCAGTGGCGCAGAAGGAATCAGAGGCAACGGCGAGCCAGAAGGATGAGGCAGCGGCGCAGCAGAATGATGAGGCAGACGCACATAAGGAATCAGCGGCAACAGCGCAGCAGAAGGATGAGGGTGTGGCGCCCAAGATGGTTGAGGCAGAGGTGGAGAAGGAAGCAGAGGCAGCGGCGCAGCAGAAGGAGGAGGGTGCAGCGCCGAAGATGGTTGAGGCAGAGGCGCAGAAGGAATCAGAGGCAGCTGCGAGCCAGAAGGATAAGGCAGCGGCGCAGCATATGGAGGAGGCAGATGCACATAAGGAATCAGAGGCAACAACGCAGCAGAAGGATGGCAGAGCGGCGCCCAGGATGGTTGAGGCAGAGGCGCACAAGGAATCAAAGGCAGTGGCGCAGCAGAAGGAGGAGGGTGCGGCGCCGAAGATGGTTGAGGCAGAGGCGCAGAAGGTGTTACAAGAGTGAGCACAGTGAGGAGCCATAGCTAGGGTTTAGCTAGCTAGGCAAGAGAGAAATGAACAAAGGAGGGGTTTCACTAGCAACAGATGGGATACATATAGCAAACCCTAACAGGGTTGTACTCGCTATAGAGCAGCCCACTACAGGCTAGATAATAACATTCTGACACACCCCCATAGCCAAAGTGGGGTGTAATCAGCAGAGCACGCAGTCATAGAGCAGGTTCACAATTGCAAGCAAAGCTAGAGGCTATCACAGAGGGCAAGTGAGGAGGAGGAGAGACTGTGGGGGCGAGAAGATGGGAGGCGACTGCTGAAGCTGCAGACACACAGGAGCTGCTGGCTCAGTGGCTACCGAAGCAAGGGCCCGGACTACAGGAGTAACTGGCTCCGCGGAGATTGTAGCCACCTGACTGGAGCAACTGACCCACAGGCGACTGGCGACTACCGGAGATTGTAGCCTCCGGACTACTGGCGCTGCTGACAACACGACGGTTGCCTCCACTCAACCTCCCCCAGCTGCCCCACGCCCCTATCACACATCCCCTGCTGCACCCCTAGCTCCACTCCCACGACACCCCCCTAGCACCACTCCTTCGGCTCCCACACACCCACCCCCCTGAGCGGCAGCTCCAGCAGCGGGAGACGGAGGAGGAGGAGGAGTTGTGGAACGGCGCACAGAAACTGCACCCCCATACCCCCCACCCCCAAACCCTAATTCAGGAGAACGGGCAGCAGCAGGGGTGGGGCGCCGTTAGAAGCACAGGGGACAGCGGGCAGCTCAGGGGCAGAGAAGAACGGGCCGCCCACAGGCCTGGCACAGCCAGACGAACCGCGCGCAGGCGGCCCAAGCCGCTCGCGGGCCAGGCGCAGCCCGTACGGGCCGCGCTCGGGGCTAGCGCAGCCCGCGCTGGCCGGGACGGGCGATCAGGGACGACGGGCTGGTCCCCGTCGCCCGTCGAAGTGCCCCCCAGGGGCGGCGCGCGGACTGACAGGGCAGAAGGCGCACGGCCGGCAGAGAACCGCCGCACGCCCTGGGGTGCACGGCGGGCAGAAAACCGCCACGCGCCTCGGGGCGCATGGCGGACAGAAAACCGCTGCACGCTCCGAGCGCGCGGCGGGAAGAAAAATCCGTCGCACGCCACGGGGCGTGCAACACACAGAGTAGCAGCGGAAGCAGCTAGGTGGGCCCACATGCCAGGAGCGTAAATGCTCTGAAACCATGTTACAAGAGTGAGCACAGTGAGGAGCCATAGCTAGGGTTCAGCTAGCTAGGCAAGAGAGAAATGAACAAAGAAGGGGTTTCACTAGCAGCAGTTGGGATACATATAGCAAACCCTAACAGGGTTGTACTCGCTATAGAGCACCCCACTATAGGCTAGATAATAACATTCGGATAGAAGGAATTAGAGGCAGCGGTGCAGCAGAAGGAGGAGGGTGCGGCGCCGAAGATGGTTGAGGCAGAGGCGCAGAAGGAATCAGAGGTAGCGGCGCAGCAGAAGGAGGAGGGTGCGGCGCTGAAGATGGTTGAGGCAGAGGCGCAGAAGGAATCAAGGGCAGCGGCAAGCCAGAAGGATAAGGCAGCGGCGCTGCATATGTAGGAGGCAGACGCACATAAGGAAGGAGAGGCGCGGAATAAGGCAGAAGAAGCGGCGCGGCAGAAGGCGGAGGCAGAGGAGCAGAAACAGGCTGTTGTAGAAGCGCGGAAGAAGGTTGTTGTAGAGGCGCGGCAGAAGGCGGAGGGTGAGGCGTTGAAGATGGCAGAGGCCGAGGAGCAGAAGCAGGTTGAGCCATACACACGTAGGAAGCCAGATAGAGAGGAGGGTCCAGATGGGAAAAAAATGATACAGACAGAGGGACGGGAGACGGCGGGTGCTGAGGGGCACATCATCGCAGAGGAAGAGGGGCAGCATAACGAGGAGGCAGCGTCGCAGGTATTCGCATACCGAGAGACGCAGAGCATGGTAGAGACAGAGCGTCAAAATACTATGGAGGAGGTTCGTGTGGTCCCGGAGGCTGGAGTGGGGCACTACGAGGGAGATGCGCTGGAAACAGAAGAGGAGCAAGATGAGGAGGATACGGTACATCCGGCAGTCCGGATATTTTTGGGAGGAAGTCCGACGCGGGGACCAGGAACCGGGGTAGAGGGGCCATGGAGGGTGGCAGACGATGGGGCGCCTAGGGATACAGTGGATCTCAACAGGCAGAGGCGGCCTACCCTTCACCAGAGAGCAGAGGAGAGGAATCTCGGCCAAGGCGAGGTGGCAGAAGCGTTTTGGCAGGTAGAGTGGGTCGAGGCAGAGACGGCAATACGGCGGATGCTGCAGCGCACGGGTACCATCCTGATCAAACAAGGTGACAGGTTCGTCGAGGCCGAAAGCTGGGACATAAGCCCGGCAGAGGTAACGCGGCGTCTGACGCTCTTAGCTCGAATGGTGACGCAGACGTTCTGCAACTTGGCGGCCCGCAACAGCAGCATCAGTCGCGACGTGGCCGATCTGACCGTCCATTACTGCCGCAACGCCCTGGCCAACCTGGAAGAAGTCCGCCATGGAAACAAGGAACGGCGGCGCCAAGCTGAAACGGCGGCCAGGTTTCGCGAGCAGGTGGACACGAGACTCTCCAACTTGCGGGAGAGTATCGTAAGGGCGAGTGATCAGGTTCGCCAGTCAGGAGGGGGGATGGCGGAGGGCACGTTAAAGGGGGTGGAAGAGAGGTTGAGAGAGGTTCTGAGAGAAGACTCTGAGCGGCGGAACAGGGATAGACTGCAGGACGAGGAGCGGAGGCAGAAGGCCACGAGGAAGGAACCAGACGCCGCAGAGAGACGGAAGAAGGAACAACAGCTGGAGGAAGAGCGTCGGCAGAAGGAGATGAGAGAGGGAATGAAGGAGATGAAGGAGGCGATGATGAAGGAGTTGAAGGCAGAAATGAAGGAGATGAAGGATGGGATGGTAAACCAGATTGTGGGGAGGTTGAGCGCGGTTTTGCGAGAAGAATCTGAGCGGCAGAAGAAGGTGAGGAAAGAGGACGCGGAGCGGCGACAACAGCAGGACACGAAGAGGAAATAAGTGGCGGACGACGAGGAGAGACAGAAGAAGAAACAACTGGACGAGCAATGGCGGAAGGAGGAGGAGGAGAAGAGGAAGGATGTAGAGGCCACAGAGCGGCGGAGGAAGAAGAAACAAAGGAGGAAGAGCGATGGCAGAAGGAGGTGGAGGCAGGAATGAAGGAAGTGATGGAGGCTGTGAAGGAGATGAAGATGGGGATGAAGGGGTGGAAGGAGGGGATGCTAAGTGAGGTGGAAAAGCGGCTGTCAGTAGTTCTGAGATTGGACGCAGAGCGGCGGCAAAAGGAGGAGCAGGGTAGGAAGGCAACGGAGGGAGATCGACGACAGAAGGAGGATGCGCAGAGGAAGGAGGCTGAAGAGGACGATCGGGAGGAAAGGGAGAAACAACAGGAGAAGGAGCACCAGCAAAATGAGGAGGCGCAGAGGAAGGAGGCAGAGGAAGCAGAGCAGGGTGGAGAGGGAGAAACAGCAGGAGATGGCGCGCCTGCAGAAGGAGGAGGCGCAGCGGAAAGATGCAGAGGAGGCCGAGAGGCAGGAGAGGGAGAAACAGCAGGAGATGGCGCGCCTGCAGAAGGAGGAGAGGTTGTCAGAATATTATCTTATGTTCTAGCCTGTAGTGGGGTGCTCTATAGCGAGTACAACCCTTCTAGGGTTTTGCTATTTGTATCCTCATTCCTGCTAGTTCATTCCTCTTTCTTTCTTCTAATTTTGACATGCTATCAGAGCAGGTCGATCCCCCTGGATCGATCCTGTGGGTGGGCTTACCACCGCTTAGCTTCCGCTGCTACTACTGCTACTACTCTCTGAGCCGCACGCCCCGTGGCGTGCGGCATTTTTTCATCCCGCCGTGCGCCCCGAGGCGCGCGGCGGTTTTCTGCCCGCCGTGCGCCCCGAGGCGCGCGGCGGTTCATTGCCCGCTGTGCGCCCCGGGGCGCGCGGCGGGCTTCTCCCCTACGTCGCGGCCCCGCCCCGATCGTCGCGGCCCCGCCCCTCGACGCGGCCCCGCTCTACGTCGCGGCCCCGCCCCGGCCCGTCGCCGCCCGTGCGCCTGCCCGGCTCGGCCCCGCCCTTCGTCGCGGCCCCGCCCCGGCCCGTCGCCGCCCGTGCGCCTGCCCGGCTCGGCCCCGCCCTACCTTGGCGGCCCCGCCCTATGTTGCGGCCCCGCCCTATGTCGCGGCCCCGCCCTACGTCGCGGCCCCGCCCTATGTCGCGGCCCCGCCCCAACCGTCGCGGCCCCGCCCCTCGTCGCGGCACCGCCACCCCCCCCCCCCCCCCCCCCCCCCCCCCCTTTTCTCCCCTCCCCCCCATTTCCCGTCGCCCGTCGCGGCTCCTTCGGGGGCCGCGGCGAGCTGTGGGGTGGCGGGTATGGGGGTGCTCGGTGTGCCTTCCTCCCTTTGCTCCTCCTCCTCCTCCGTCTCCCACTGCTGCAGCTGTCGCTGAGGGGGGTGGTTGTGTGGGAGACTCGGGTTTAGGGTTTAAGGGGGGTGCGTGGGAGTAGAGCTAGCGGTGTAGCAGTGGGTGTGTATCAGGGGGGTGGGACTGTGTGCGAGAGGTTGAGTGGAGGTTGTCAGTTTGTCGTTCGCAGCACCTGTAGTCCGGGGCGCTGTCCCGGTAGCCCAGTCGTAGCCAGCTGTGCCAGCCGCCCGTGGGTCCGTTGCCCGTCCGCCGCTATTTGAGCCGCGGGGCCTGTTACTCCTGTAGTCCGGGCGCTGTCCGGTAGCCGCTGTGCCAGTCTGCCTCCTGTTGCCCGTGTGTCTGCAGCTTCAGCCGTCGCCTCCTGTCTCCTCTCCCCTCACTCTCCCTCCTCCTCCTCACTTGCCCGTTGTGACTACCACTAGCTTTGCTTATAATTGTGAACTCTAAACTATTTCTTCTTGAACTTGTGCTCAGAATGTGTGGTGACATTGTGATCCACCCTGAGCTTGTTTTGCTTTGCCTGCTCTGCTGATTACACCCCACTTTGGCTATGGGGGTGTGTCAGAATATTATCTTATGTTCTAGCCTGTAGTGGGGTGCTCTATAGCGAGTACAACCCTTCTAGGGTTTTGCTATTTGTATCCTCATTCCTGCTAGTTCATTCCTCTTTCTTTCTTCTAATTTTGACAGAGGTAGAGGAAGGAGGCAGAGGAGGTAGAGCGGCGTCAGAGGGCGAAACAGCAGGAATTGGACCGCCTGCAGAAGGAGGAGGCGCAGAAGGAGGCAGAGGAGGCCGAGCGGCAGCAGCGGGCGAAACAGCAGGAGATGGAGCGCCTGCAGAAGGAGGAGGCGCAGAAGAAGGAGGCAGAGGAGGCCGAGCGGCAGCAGCGGGCGAAACAACAGGAGATGGAGCGCTTGCAGAAGGAGGAGGTGCAGAAGGAGGCAAAGGAGGCCGAGCGGTGGCAGAGGGCGAAATAGTAGGAGATGGAGCACCTGCAGAAGGCAGAGCAGTGCTGAGCAGAGAAGAGAGCCACACTTGCATCCTACGCGGAACAGCAGCGACAACTGGAGGCAAAGGCAAAGGCGATGGCTGAAGAGACGGAACGATTGGCACGGGAGATGGAAGAGGAGGATTTGACCATGCAAGGGGAGGGGACCTGGAAGGGAGTCGAGGAGGAAATAGCTGAGGGCCTAGGGAGTTTGCTGTTGATTGAGAGCGGGGAGGCGAATGTAGCAGAGGGCGTGACTATTGTTCCCGGACAGAACGTAGTGGTGTCCAAGAGGCGGCCTAGACAGGAGGACAGGGAGCCGGAGGGTCATGCGGCTAAGAGACGGTGTGCAGCTGGTATACAGGAGTTGATACCGATAATCACATGGGAAAAGAAAGGGATGAAGATCGACAAGTGTGACAACAGGAAAAACGCCATAGTGGACGACAAGGGTAAGACTTTGGGTGTCTGCCTGCCGTTCAGGGGAAGCGGGTTCTCTTAACGGGGCGAGGGAGCTTTGCAGAAGCGGACGTCTGAGCAGACCGTCGGCGGCCGGAAGCGGAACCTCGGCTCTCACAAAACGGTGTGGGAGAGGGCATACACGGTCGCAGTCTGCTGGAAGTTCTACTTCTTGGATATTGACATGCAGGCATACGGCATGAATCCAAACCGTATTAACAAGTGGCGGGAAGACCTTGACTTCACAGCGTGGCTTCCAACAGGGGTATGGGGCGTCATCAACGAGCTCCACCTGGACAAACCGGATGGGTGAATGTTTATGTGATGGACAGTTGCAACTTCTAAACACCCGCGAAGTTCGATGGTTTTGATCTTGGGACACTGGTGTCTCGTGCAGATTCTCACTCGTTCAAACCAACACGGCTCTTCGGCAGCAGCAGGGGGATGGCTTTCAGGTAGCTGCCTGCGCTGGTGTTGGAATAACTGCGTGGCAGAAGATGGTGGGAGGCGTGGAGGGTGAAAACGGCTATTCGACGGAAGAATACGTAGTCGGACTTGCCGCCACGTTGTCTGTAATGTGGGCCGCATCCACGAATGTGGACCACACCCAGTGGGAGACGGGCGCAACATCAGTTGCACGTGGAACTTCTACGGCCATAGCATCTTCTGCTGCCAGATCGTCCACTGCTGCCACCGCCTCGTCGGCTGCCTCGTCATCTTCTGCGGCCAATGTGTCCTGTGCCGTCCTCGATGCCCTTGCGACGCTTGCAGCCCGGTTGCTTGCGTTGCGGTTGAGGCAATGAGGTCGGTCAAGGATCAGGAGCATGACAAGGAAGCGTGGATTCTGCCCCTATCGGATGCGCTGCTGAAAGCGCTTCCGGCAGAGTCGCGAGCGGCCGGGGATACGAAGCGGATGATGAGGGTGGTGGCAAAGGTGGTGACCTCTTGGTGCCTATGCAGCATGGCATCAAGAGGCCTTCGCCTAGCACCAGGGCGTCTACCTCGGAGTCCTGCAGAACAAGTTGGGCGGCCGGGACACCACAGCAGGGGCGGATAAGGAGAAGAAAACCAAGAAATCGTCCGCGAAAGGGAACGCGACGAAGGATGGGTCGACGGAGGAGAACACCAGCACTGGCGGGCAGGAGTGATAGAGGCAGACGGGTTCTTTGGAGGTCTTGTTAGTACCGCAGTAGAAATAGATTTTCCTTTCTGTGTTTTTTTTTAACCGTATATAAATATAGGTGTTGTTGTATACAATACAATGAGAGATGTATTTTTGCTATGCAAACCTTCACTACACTCGCGAAATTTGTAGGGCGCGTATGGAGCTAGCAATGCAGCCGATAGAACTTGCCATCAAAGGGAGGGCCAGCCGAATAAAATAATTGACGGCAGGACGGCCTTCTACGACACTTAATCTACGTATAATACTCGGCTTCTACGAGGAGGTAGAAGTATGGGGCTAAACAATCGCATAACATCTTGTCTTGGGAGCACCTTGTTAAGAATCGTATACGGTATTCCTATGCACAGACCTTTCTGCTATGGAGATTGAATTCCTCGACGCCAAATTCTGGAGGCAAATCGGAAACGACACTATACCGCAGAAAAACCTACGTATGGATAATATCTACCGTCATGGATAGGATATTCGTTGCTACTAGTAGAATATGGCACTCCTTTGCCCAGAAACATATGCTGAGACTGAATACATCCACGCAAAAGTCTACCAAGTGGCCTAAGAATGCACATCTACAATTCTGAGAGTGAATTTATTGACGTCGCTCTATAGAATAACATCGTATACGACATGAGTCCGCAGAATTTCGCCCGGTATATACCATCGATGTGTGCTTCAATGCATAGACCAGAAAAACATTCTATGAAAAAACAGCGCGTCCAGGGAAGAAGGTGGCATACAAGCCCCAAATCGGGCTTCTACAGAGACAAGCAAGTGCCTGTAGTGCATATTCAATACAACCGGAATAAAGTACCCAAATAACTAAACCGCCCCATCCTAAAGGTACATGCCCCCTCATTTCTGCTCCTAGCGTTTCGACGCTTCGCCCTTCGCCTTTTCCCGTTCCGCCTTCTTCGCCGCAGCGGTTCGTTGTTTCTCCTCTTCCGCCTTCTCCTCCGCCATGTGTTCCTTGTGGATCTCCTCCCACTCATCATCCCCAAACAGCGAAGTTGCCCACTCCTGGTCGCGAAGGCCCTTCTTGACTAACAGCCAGCCCACTCTGCGTTGCGCCAAGTCGTTGACGGTCCTCTTTTCTGTCGACGAACCGGTCTTCTGTTTCTTGATGGGCGGAGTCTCATGCAGCACCGCCAGGCCGTTGGTGAATTCCGTGAAGTTGCACACGAGTAAAACCTCGTCCAGCAGCTTAATGGCCGTTGCGGTCGCCGCCTCGGAGTTGTCTTTTCTTCGCGTCTCCACGGAAACCATGACACGATGCACGCGACGCATCTTTCGCTCGCATGCACCACACCCATCCCGGGCGTACCTTTGTTAGCGAACCGGGAATAGGCGGTGATGAAGCTGGAATTCTTGTTCTTCTTCTTATACCGGTCGAACTCTGCAAAGACTTCGCGCAGAGACCTGCCGCCCATGATAAGGCTTGGCTGCACCCACACTTTCCAGGCAGCAGCAACAGAGGTGGCTTCGTGCCAAGACACAACGACCACAACGAAGCATTCTTCCACGGCAACTGGTGCTTTGGATGCGTCCGCTGCCTAGTTTTCTCCTGTTCCCGCGCTCTTCGACGATCCATCGATCTTTGCAGTGGTGTTTGCCGCATCATCCCTAGCCGCAATAGACCTCTTGTATGCTTCGAACTCTGCAATGACCCGAGCCTTGTCCTCTCGCTCAGCGTCGAGTTTCTCCCTCAGTTCAGCGTTCTCCATCGCCAACTGCATTTCACGTCCTCTCAAAATCCCAAGCTCCTCCCTGAGCATATTGGCGGTGAGGTGCATCTTCTGCATCTTCTCTTCTGCGGTCGTGCGAAAGATAGCGTCCTGCAGAAACCAACACGGCAGAAATCAGCATGAACGAATAACTCCCTCTCTCTACCACTAATAACAGGCACTTACTGCTTTGACGGTGGTTTGGCCGGTTGCCCAAAGCTTCTCGCCCTGGAAGTGAGAGATAGCGACCAGGTACGCCCACTTTTGGAACAGCGGGTGGTTGCACAAGGGGCTCATATGCACATATGGATGCCTCTCGCAATTGCACCGCGGGTTTCTCACGCCGTGCTGATGTCAGAACGCCCACATCATAGCCAGATCTTGTGCAACAACGAGGCGTCCGATGCTCGTGAGGGTCTCAAGGAACCTCGCCCCTGCATAGTGCCTCTTCAGCGGATCGGTCTGCGCAGCGTTCCATTCTTCGACCTGACGGGACGAGTATGCAGGAGAAATGCGACGGTTCATAATTGCGTATCAAAATTAAGCTACGAACGCGAAGACTGTACACTAGCACGTACCTTCTTTCAACCCTCTTCGACCCAGGGGAAAATGTGAAGCCTCAAGAGATCCAAGAGCTGCAACCACTCATCCTTCTCCTTATCCTTATGCCGCGGAAGCTTGGCGCGGGCTCTGCCGATGTAGTAGTCTCCACGATCCCCGCTGAATCTTGCCAGCAGCCAAACCGGCTTGAACGGAATGCCGAACACATAACACCTCCGCAACTCCCCCTGCACCCATCCGCCTAGAGTGCCGATATCGTTGTCGGAGCAACCGTCGTCATGGAGTTGTTGTGCTCCGGATCTGCAGAATGCATGTGTCACCTTGCTCAGAATCTATCTCGCCTTCGTCATGGCCCACTTAATCTGTTAAGATCCTAGCGTGACTTAGGAGCCATGGCTAGTGAGTTCGAGGGTAAGGAAAGTATCGAGAGAGTTGAGAAGGAGAATGAGTGTTCACTATAGCAAGAGAGTACATATAGCAAACAAGTGAAGAAAGAGGTGCACCACCTATAAAGTTCATATCTACACTACAGCTAGAACTACATGCAGGTATAAGAATATAATTCTGACATAATCCAGGTGTTATGCGTTTTGTAGTGCATCGCGTCTTGCTTCTGCTTTCCCTGTTCGCCCTTCTTCAAAGAAAAGAAGAGGTGCGCTTTGGTCCACAAGATCGGTTCAGAAAAGTCGAGAGGCTCGACGATACTGGGGCCGTAGCGCAGAGGAACGAGGTCGTAGATGAAATGAAGCCACAGAAACACATGGCCCATTCCGCAGAGCCGCCAGTCCCTATGCCTTGCAAGAAACTGATGACTCAGCTTGTTGTTGGGGTTGGTCTTCGACTTCCTGGAAACAACGACGAGTACGAAAACGTCCAGATAGTCGTTGAGGCATGATATGCTCCGCGTCATGCGGACAAACAGGTTCCCAAGGCAAGGAAGCGAGATTTGTGACGGAGGCGTCCGCCACCAGATCTCTAGGAGCTCTTTTTGCAGAACAGTAAGATGCAGCGTCCTATACTGGCTTCCAGTATAGCAATCACCAATTGATCCACGGGTTTGATCTC